GCGATCCCAGCAGATCTTCCCTGAAGCGGTTTGATGTGGATCTCCTCCAGCCGGGTTGTGATGAGCTACCCGTGCCAGAGGCCGCGGCGGGCGCGGCGACGGCGGTGGCGGCGGCGGCGGCGGCGGGAGCGCTGGTGGGAGGAGGGGCTGCGGCAGCAGCGGGAGAGGACGATGCAGTAAAAATGTCCAGTCCTTGCGATGTTCCAGTGATAGCGATGGCCGAGCTCTGTTTGAGGAGTAGGCTGCAATGCTGGGGTCCCCAGCCTCCCGGGGGCGAGAGTCAGAGACCCACTGCAGATCTCCCTTGCAGAGGGCTTCAGACACCGGGTTGCCAGGTCGCCATCTTGCCCCCCCCAGCTAATTTTTTGATTTATTGTAGAGACAAAGTCTCACCATGTTGCCCAGGCTGGTCTCAAACCCACGGGCTCTATCAATCCTCTCGCCTCGGCCTCCCAAAGTGCTGGGATTATAGGCTTGAGCCACTGCACCCGGCTCTTAAGATATTTTTATTGTATTGAGAGAGAATTTGGTTCTAGCAAAGAGACGTTTTACTGGGCTGAAAATGCAGCAAGACGTATGTAAAAACAAGTTACTTTCTCATTGAAAAAATAAAGGAAATTGGAAAAATAATTTTGTTTCAACCTAGAATCATTAAGAATTGCATTTCAAAGAATTTGCTGTGTCTCTTCATGAGTATTATTGAACTTCTTCATAGAATGATTCTGGGGACTTTCAAAGTTTAAGTCAATTACTTCCTTATTCATTGTTTCACAACATTTTTGGTCTTCCCTTTTTCTCAGAAACAAATTTTGGTAGATTTTCACAGTGAACACTAGCTGAGCACTTGAGTACGTTTTAAGTATAGGGATTGAGGTTCAGATTGCTTTAACTTTTTTACTACTTCAGATTTATCTTTCCATTGAGAGTGATATAGTTCTTCTGCATTTGTAGCAATTTAATAGATACAAAGTATGTCAAAATCTAATAAAAAGAATAATTTTATATTTGACAGGATATTTTCTATTGAAATTGACTTTAGGGCTCAAGCAATGTATTGCTTGACAGTATTTAATTTAACTGTTTCTTATTATACTCTCTTACATTAGAAGCTCCTTTTAATGAACCATTATCAGAGTATAATTTCTTACTTTGGTCAACCCTTTTTCTGAGCACAATACTTTTGGAGTTTTACTGTAATACAGTAATATTTTTTTTTCTAAGTTTCTCAAGGAGAAACAGTCTCCTAGTGTTCCTTCAAACATTTCTTGGGCATTCCATCTTGTTCTTAGAGCTCTATGATGTGAGCAAGGAAAGTCACTAAGCTTCATGAATGTTCAGGGATTAGCCTAGCATATAAAAAACCACTTGCCTTATAGTGACTAACAGATACACTGCTTTCCTTAAACACCTTATCATCCTCATATGTCGTTTCCAGAGCCTGGGCTCTTTCATATATATATATATTACATGAATACAAGGGAATGAATATCAGGAGATAGGGATTATGAAGGGGCCACATTAGAGTGTGTCTGCCACAGGTTCCACAGCCAGTGGTTTTTTTACTATAGCATGCTGTTTCTAGTAAAAGCTCAATATATATGAATATACTTTTTAAAATTATGTAAAGCATTATAACACTACTGGAAAAGTTTAGAGGTAAAATCCTCATAATCTCATAATCTCTTAATGGGTCTCTTGAGCAGGGTGCTAAGTACTGATTCTTGCTATCTCTAGGCAGTCATAATAATTGTATTTGACTTTATGTTAGTCTTTTAAAAATACCCACAATTCTCCTTTTTATGGTTGAAATCAGAACAAGTACATTATACTCCAGACTTACTTTTTCATGTTTGATATCATTAACATTTGTTCTCATTTCTATATAATTGTGCAGTGGCCACTTTCAGTGTTCTCATTGCATTCTTTCCATTGACTGCATCACCAAATGTTTAGTTAACCAGGTCCAATTGGTTGACTGTGTAGGCAATTTTCAGTCCTCCACTATTGAAAACAAACATATGAACAACAATAACAGCAAAACATTGCATAACTTCTACAGGCACATAATTCGTCCCTCTTTTGTATTATCTACTTAGATTGGAAATCCAGAAGTATAAAATTATCGGATTAAAGAACAGGAACATTTCCATGACTTTTGGTGCATGCTATCAAAATGCTTCTAATTTTATTTGACTTTGACTAAATTAATAGTCTTCAAAATTAACTCTGTGTTCACTGGAAAGAAAGACAATATCTTTACTTATTCTTAATCCAGGAATTTTGGTAGAGAGAAGTATGAGGGATTATTTATCTTCTCTTCATGACCAAGGGGCACCTCTTAGGTCTTGTTCTACACTGGAGTTCAAGTAGAGGACATGGATTCCCTCAGGACTTATCCTTTATACCAAATGATGTCATATCTATGAATATTTTTCCTGGCCACACTGTAAGATGGCATCTTTTCTACAATGAGGCAGAAGTTGTTCTCACTGGATTCTTGGGAAATCTGTATTTTATTCTGTACAGAGACAAATTGCACTAATTTATTTATTTAGATGCAATACTCTCCTGTTGTATGTATCCACTTTGGCAGCATATTTTGCAATAGGCTTTTCTGTAGTAGAAAAGGAAAATAAAAAGTCATAGCTAATGTAACACAGTAGAAAGGCTCATATTTGTCATCCAGTTAACACTAATAAGAACAGATTAATTACTATTTTCCTTATGATTCAAGAACTGATAGTTTGTAGTTTGTAGTTACAGCTTTTTTAAAAAAATTTAAGTATCTGTTGTGAGCTGGAGAGTTTAGTTACCATATTCGGTCCTCATATGCCTGCCCTGTGACCTCACATCAGCCTGTTTGAAGAATTGTGTGTTTTTGCTTATCTTTATATGGAAAGACTGCCTGGAAAATCTGTCTGACCAGAATTAGAAGCCCTGTAGCATTTGTAGGAAGTGCTGTTTTAGGACATGGATCATCTAATTGAGTTTCCTTGCTGCCAGAATTTGTTGCATAGAGAAGGTGATAAGTTGGAAAACATCTTACTGATTATAAAATCACTATATTTTATAGCTCTTAGTAGTCCTTATAGCCAATCAAACTTGCTTGATTCCATTATGACAAAGTTATCTCAAAGAGGATTGAAATCTATACAGGAACTCACTGTACTGTGTTGATAATGATAGTGATTAGGACAGGGAGATGGGAGCTAGAATTACTTTGTTTATTTTTCAATTTGTAGTGCAACCTTGGTCTAAAATTTTTCGAATGGAAGGTTTACATGTGCTAGATTAGCAATTGTTAAAAATATTTAGCTTTGGTAGTTAATTGTAATAGTATGATATGTTTTAAGGAAGATTTTCTTTAAGGGCACTCCCAACACTGCCAGAACAACCTAAAGCACCTGCTGCCCAGTTTCCCTCCGGGCACCGATTTCCTGTAGCCATCTATGTTCACAAGCCACTGACACTGTTGTGAAAGCACTTTGGAATATTCTTAACTTCATACTTTATTTGTCCAAATTCATAAAAACTATTTTAAGTAAAGATACAAATCCTTAAAAAAGTGATTGTAGTTCATATGAATTACTGCTACTTTTCAGTAAGTATTTTTTTTTAACCAAGTCTTAAAGTTCCAGGAGGCCTTTATTGCTGTTGGCTAGTTTCTTTGTTTTAGTGTAACAGAACCTCAGAGTCAGAAAGAACGGAAGGATCATTTAAGAAAACTTACTGTGTATAAAACCCTTACAAAATCAAGTTTCCTTGTTCTTACTTTAGACCAAACTTTAAAATTAAGAATGATACAAAAGTATTATGAACCGTATCTGTGCACAAGGAGCCTTCAGTAAGTTGACAGTCGAATTAACATGAAATAACATACATGGTAGTCCATTATTTTGGATGCTTAGTGTTTAAGTGTACTTTTTACTCTTAACAGAACTTGGGCAAGTGTGTGATTTGGAGCAAGTTCCATAATCCATCTGAGTGTAAGTTTCTTTGTCTGTGAATCTGAAATGGAAATAATAGCAGCTACCTCATAAGACTATTATGAGACTTAAATAAAATATGCATGTAAGGAGCTTAGCACAGTACCTGGCCCATATAAAGTAATTAATAATTAAGAATTATTGTATTATACTATACAGTGAGATTTCATATGGTACAATGCAGATAGGGACTTGATGCATATAGAATTCTGCAGCTCATTGCTAGCACTCTCTAAAGCGAGGTCTGTGTTACAGTGTTTCTTCTTATCAGCTTAGCCCTAATCTGCCCACTTCCCAGCAGGAGAAAGAGGCCAGACTTTGATTAAGTGCTGGTGAGAGTCCATCATTTATATTATCTGCTAGTATAGAATTTATAACCCTATAATTATAATTTATAAATTCATTGAGACAAAAACTAATATCATTATTTTATTTTACTTCAATCAGGGTAAGAACAGTGGCACTGAAGCCCAATGTATACTCTGTAGCAACATTCTTGATTTAATGGTAGCCCCTAACATTACTAGGAAAGGATTGAACACTGATCCTTTCCTAATAACAAAGGATCCTAGAGTTGGAATAGAGCATTCCATTCATTTTTGTTCATAATATGTAGAGATTGATTAAATTATTTACATGGTCATTTGGATAATAAAAGAAGCAAAATCACAGTTTGGCAAGTAGAAGTTAGAATTAAATTACACCAAGAAGACATCAAAAATGACATTCTTTGTAATACATTGTTGGCCTTATGTAAAATTTAAAAAAAAAATCCATACAGCCTATCATGAAACTCAATGGGGAAATGTAGTGGAACAAATTTAAGATTTAGAGTTAAAGATATTTAAATTTGAATTTAACCCTGCCACCCACTTGCTTTGTGACCTTGGGTAAATTTATTTAACTCCAGTCAATAAAATGGAGTCAATAATATCTACCTTACAGGACTATTATGCATATTACTTGAAATTGTGTAATGCATCCACTATAGCTGCTATCATTTAATTGGGCTTCTACAAGTGGTAGCTATTATTGGTATGAATGATATGAAGACAATATATGTCTCCAGTTTTTTCAGAACACAAGCTACAACTTGACATTTTCATGGATTTGGAGATAATTTCTAAGCACCTTCCGATGTTTCAGCGTGTCTTTCTATGCTGGATGAGCTCATAACTTCTGTGAAACCA